GCCACAGTGGCAGCCGATACAGGCGCTGCCGGAAGATCCTCAATCAGGAGGAGCGATGAAGCAGGAGCCGGGTCTTCCACAAACGCTGGAAGAGGGCAACGACTGAGGGCGTCAGCATGGCCCATCGATTTCCCCAGGCAATGGATGAGCCGGTAGTGGTAGGCAGCCAGGAAAACAGTCCATCACAGCATGCGCGGCGAGAGGACCGGTGGAGTTGGACGATCACTGGCGAGGAGGCCCAGGAGTGGCTTGTGGTCAGTGATGAGGTCAAAAGTCCTGCCATAGAGGTATTCATGGAACCTCTTCACTCCAGCCACAAGTGCCAGTGCCTCCTTGTCGAGCTGGCTGTGATTCCGTTCAGTCGGAGATAGCATCCTGGAAAAGTAGGCTAGCGGTGCTTCTCTTCCGTCTGGAAAACGGTGGCTAAGGACAGCGCCGATGCCAAAAGGTGAGGCGTCACAGGCAAGGACCAGCGGCCTGGATTCACTGTTGTACTGTACCAGCACACTGTCCAATGAAAGGAGAGCCTTGACCGCATTGAAGGCCACCGTCTCCCGATGACCCCAGGACCAAGGTGTCTTTGTGCTGAGGAGTCGGTGAAGAGGCTCAGCCACCGTGGCTTTGTGGGGCAGGAACATGTTATAAAAGTTCAGCAGTCCCAGGAACGCCTGCAACTCCGTCCTGTTCTTTGGGATGGGGGCCTGCTGGATAGGGCGGATCTTAGATGTGGTTGGGTGAAGGCCGGAGGTGTCGATAAGATAGCCCAGGAACTCTACCTATGGAATGGCGATCTGGCACTTCTCCCTCTTTACCTTGAGCCTGGCCTCCTGGAACCTAGTCAACACGGCACGGAGGCGCTCGAACAGCTGCTGGTGTGAGTCTGCAGACACCAAGATGTCATCAAAATATGGTACCACGCCCGGGAGCCCTTGCAGGAGACGCTCCATAAAGCTTTGGAAGATGCCAGGAGCCACACTCACCCCAAACTGCAAACGGCGGCAACGGAATGCCCCTCGGTGGGTGACGATCGTCTGGGCTTCAGCAGTGGCATCATCAACGGGCAGTTGTTGATAGGCTTGGGCAAGGTCCAGCTTAGCGAAGACCTTACCCTCACCCAGGGAATGCAGCAGGTGTTGGACAACAGGAACCGGATAAGCGTGCTGCTGAAGTGCCTTGTTGATCGTGCACTTGTAGTCAGCGCAAATTCTCACCGACCCATCTGGCTTGACAGGCGTGACAATGGGGGTTTCCCACTTGGCATGGTCAACCAGCTCCAAAACTCCTTGGGTGATCAGCTTGTCCAGTTGTTCGTCCACTTTAGCCTTGAGAACAAAGGGAACCCAGCGTGGCTTTAGCTTGATGGGGGCGACTTGTGGATCAAGGCTAAAGGAGATGGGCGTACCTGTATATTGCCCCAAAGTGCCGTCAAAAACCTCGGCAAAGTCTTTGACCAGACCCTCAGTCTCTGCGTTAGAGATGCAGTTGATGCCAGTGACTTCCAGGCCGAGGGCATCAAATCAGTCTAGCCCTAGGAGGCTTGGCCGCTGACCTTCAACCACCACCAGTCGGAGCAGGCCTGAAAAATCCTTGAAGGCGATCCGGAACCAGCCGACGCCTACCACAGGAATGTCGTTTCCCTGGTAGTCTCTCAGGTGTACGCAGTGAGAGTCGAGTTGCCTTTTGGACACTCTGGGTACCAGTCTTTTGGTGCTCCAAGATACAATGGACAGGGCAGACCCGGTGTCGATTTCCATGTCACATGGAGCTCCTTCAATGAGCACCGTGACGTTCAGCTTGCGTCGCGTAGGCAAGTCGGTTTGGCCAATCGTGGTTCCAGACGGGCAGCGGCAGTTGGTGAGAGCGAAACAGCTTTCCTTGGCAGACTGGAGTGAAGACTTGGACTTGCGAGTCGGTGAAGGAGGGGTGTCAGACGGAGCCTATCGGCAGACCTTAGCGATGTGGCCCCTTCTGGAACACTTCCTACAGATGGCGTCTCTGAATCGACACTTGGCATGGGAATGGTTGCCTCCGCAGCCGGCACATTCCGGTTGGCCCTTGGACTTCTGTTGGAACTTCCTGCGCTCCCGCTTTGTCTGGTGCACGTCATCGTCTTCACTGGAGGATGCCTCATCACTGCTGGCCTCTTCATGATGCACTGGAACTGGCTTCCTAGCAAGACGCGGGCTGCTGGCCTTGCGGATCTCCTGGGCGGAGCGTTCGGCAGCTTCCGAGGCCTCTGCCTCCTCAATGGCTTTCTGCAGCGTGAGGTCTGGCTTGGCGAGGAGACGCCGTTGCAGATGGATGTCCCGGACCCCGCAGACGATTCGATCCATCAGGGCATCGTCTAAGTCTCAGAACTCACAGTGCATTGCAACCTGTCACAGGGCGGTGGTGTAGTTGCTGATTGACTCCCCCTCTGACTGGTTCCTGTGGTAGAATGCATGGCGGGCAGCAATCTTGGACGGCTTTGGCGCGTAGTGGTTGCGGGGCTTCTTTTGAATCGTGTCCCATGGTGTTGCTTGGACTGCTTCAGGCGCAACCAATGTCCGGGCCGTCTCAAACACCTCAGGCCCACAGAGGCTGAGGAATAGGCCCTGCTTCTGCTTCTTTGATACTTCTGTCAGCTCGTTGGCTTGGACGTAGCAGTTGAAGCGAGTGAGGTAGGAGTCCCATGATTCAGAGGCTGGCGCAAACGGCAGTAGAGGCACAAGTGAAGCCATGATTCCGATGCAGGCGTGAAGGACGATGGATGGAACACAGTGCTCTAGCCAGAACAGTCAGCTCTGAATTGGTTCTGTTCAGTGATTCAGCTCAGTTCAGAGGGTGGCTGCATCTGGCTGTGCTCTGATGTCCATCGATCCCATCCTCATCGCCAGTGTTAAGTTGTGGGTGAACATATCAGCGATTCTTCAAACAGCTCTTGTTTATTCAGAGGCCAGAACAGAACTGAACTGAAGGGCTCAGTCAGCCTGCTTACCGTATATAGAGCTCCAGTACAACGTTACTGTAGCAACTTTCTAAAACTATCCAATCACTGAACGTCACTTTCCTTTCCTTCGACCACCAACTAGTGCTGCGGTTTGGTCATTTTCCTAGATCTGCTTTATGTGCTGACCAGTATTTATTTTTCCATTGTCTAATTGCCTTGTTTTATTGGGATGCATACCAACACCCAAAGTGAATGTTTTATAACAAACAAATATTCTGACTAAGCATTTGTAAAAACTTTCTGACAGAAAGAGTTGTTCTTTGGTGGAGCAGTCTCCCACGAGAGGTGGAGGACTCTCCTTCCTTGGAGGTTTTTAAAGAGAGGTTGGGTGGCCATCTGTCATGGAGGCTTTAGCTGAGATTCCTGCATCATAGTGGGTTGGACAAGATGACCCTTGGGTCCCTTCCAACTCCTAGATTGTATGATTCCATGAACTGCACTGTGCTCTAAGGAAGGCTGTTTCCGTTGGTGGAAAAGTGTATGCATTTTATTTTACTTTTTAACGTTCACTCCCATCCCCAACATGACTCACCTTTGGTTCTCAAGCGAGAGCCACTTCCTCTCCAAAGCTTTCTGGTGCCCTGAATAGGACCTTTGCTCCTTCCAGACCCATGGCCCCTTGTCCAGCTATGTTTGAACTGGTTTAATGGTTACCTTCCCACAGAAAAATAACTGTGTTGTTGCTTCATTGCACCTCCACCCACCCACCTTCACTGCAAGTACTGGATTGGGATCTGGGATCAAGTTGCCATCCAGTTGGGACAGTGCTCAGTCCTTCCAGCCCCCTTGTAGCATTGCATGAACTTTGGGAGCTGTCCTCAGCCACCATCCTTCCTACGGGTCTGCATTTGAAAGGTCTTAGCCCACAAATACTCCAGACACAGAATCCAATTGCTGCCTTGAGTTGCTTGATAAGTCCTTCATGCAGTGCCTGATTACCAATAGGCAGAGTAGGTGCTGGTCTATGGGCCCCACAACGGAGCAAAACAATATTGATTTGATCTTGAAAGAGCAAAAATGTACTAGGAGATAATTAGCAAGGCTCAACTCCCCCCCCCCCGGATTTTGACTGCCTAGGGGCCTCCACAGGGTTTAATCCGGCACTGCCTCCATGCCCAGCCCCCAGCCCAGCCCCTGCCAGCAGTTGCCCCAGTTTCAGTCCCTGTGATTTTTCCCCTGCCTTCACCCCTTCATGCATGTGGCAGGAATCTCTCTTGGAGCGAGTTTATGCTCTGTGAGCTTATTCCGCAGCAAAGCTCTTCTGCCCAGCAGTTACCTCCTGTGCTCTAGGCAGGCAGCTCTGTCTGTTGAGCTCATGAAGGGCAGTGAGTGTGTGGGCGGGTGTGTGGGTGGGTGTGGTGTGTGGGTGTGTGAGTGTGTAGGGAAGGATGCACTGGAACAGGGTTCGGTTTCCTAACTCAAAGGACTGAAGGCATCATTGTGCTCTGCCAGGCTTGGCACCGGATTCCGGTACTGACTTTGCACCCCGGAAGGAGACGCAAATCACCATCCCTTTTCGTGGGACATGGTACAGCTGACGCCAAAAGGCGTCATGGCTGAGGCAGCTGGCGTGTTGAGCATCCTCCCTTCTGACCCCCGGGGGCAGCAACTAGCAGCCTTAACTCTTCCTTCTCCCACCCCACTTCCTCCAGGGCCATTGCAGATCTTTCCAAGGCATGCCTGTGTGCACTGGCCTGAGAGCAGAGCGGCCGCCTCCAGTCAAACTCCTGGCTCCTTCTTCCACAAAGTTTAGCACCCCCAGCTTCTATCCTTTGATGTCCAGAGGGGAGAGGTCACTGTGTGGGGTCTCTGGCCCCTGGCAGAGCCTGGGACCAGGTGCTGGTGCTTGGTTAGAACGGCCTGGAATGCCGTACACAGACACTTTGTTTGGCAAGGGTGGGCGGAAGTCCGGGCGCTTGGTCTGAATTCTAAAGTGTGTTGTTTGGGGGCCGATAAAGGCCTCATTGTATGCAAAGCAGTTTATAAAGCAGCGTATGACTTCCCCGAGCTGGGCACAGTCTGCTGGGAGGCCTGACCCTGCAGAGGGAGCCTGCGGCTGCCTTGGGAAGGACCTGCGGCAAGGTAAAGTCCCAGCTGTGAAACCTCCCCTGACCCAGATCTTTGTAGAAGCAGGAATGACTTGGTGGGTAGCAGTCTAGATTAGGGCAGCGGTGGTGGTCCTCAGTGGTGGGATGGGAAGGACCTGTCTATTTTTCCAGAAGCAAGCAAAGGGCACGGATTCAATCTAAAAAGCCGGTACCCCAACCCACTCTTCTGCAGCTCTCCTTCCCATTTTGAAGCGTCAATGGCTGTAGCATCAGAAGAAGTGCGCAATGGCAGCTGCTTCTAGATAAGACTTAAACCTAAATGGGTGTGAAGAGATGACCAGAAGCTGGGAAAGCTCTTTCCCAGGAATTTTTTAAAAATCAAAATGCTTTGTTTATAGCTGTATTATTCCTTAACAATCCTTAACCTTGCAAGCTTGCTCACTACAGCAATCTCTGGATCACTGCTGAACGCCTGAGGTCCGGAGAGCCTAGTTGTCCACCTAGTGAGTTTGGGGCTGTGGTGACTTCTGAACCAGGCCCTTGTTAGCTCACACGGAGTTTGCCTCTGGGGCAGGCTGGGTGATCATTGTGCCTCTTGGGTGATACTTGCACCTCTTCACCTCCTGGAACTCATCCTGTCTCTGACAGAAAGAGAACCCCCTTTTTTTGCTTGAAAGGCATTTGGGCATCTGCAGTGCTGCCTCTTTTTCTGGCTGTAGGCTTGTTCAAACACAGGTACAACCTGCCTTTGCCACGTGTTCAAATGTGTGCATGGATGAGCTTACCTGTGTTGTTTTGTGCAGCTCCACTGGTGTTCAGAGACTTTAATGCTCCATGTGAGTAACTGTTTGGCTTTACAGCTCAGCTGTTCGTATGCAGAGGCAGAAAAGGAAGCTGCCCTCTGTGGAGTCAGACCATTGGCCCATCCAGCTCAGTATTGTTGAAACTGACCGTCAGCGGCTGCCCAGCATTTCAGACAGGGCAGTCTTTCCAAGCCCTGCCTGGAGGTACCAAAAGCTGAAGTTGGAACCTACTGGATGCACACCAGGTGCTCTTCCTCTAAGCTATGGCTCTTAGAAAATCTGTGGCTCAGTGGGAGCGCATCCCCTTTGCATGCAAAAGGTCCCAAGTTCAACCTTTGATATCTCTAGGTGGACCATGGTCCAAAATCCCAGAGAGCTGCTGCCAGTCAGTGCAGGTGATACTGAGCTAGATGGACAAATGATCTGACTCCCTAAGCAGTGTTCACATTTACATTAATTAAACCCTCGTTGAATGTAATGTTTGACCAACACTTCTGTTACTCTCCAAACTATCATGTTGAAAGGCCCATTTTGGGCTGGCTTGCACAGTGACAGAGCAGAAAGTGCTGTGGACGTCAGTAAAGGAGATGCCATGCATCTCTGGTCCCACACTATGCCTGGAAAACTTCCGTTGTTTGTTTTGCACCTCATCTTTGCAAGTAAGTGAGAGTGCCAGCTAGCAAGCAAGCAGCAAAGCTTTGCCCCCAATGGAATTCAGGACCTCCCCATCAAACACTCTGCTCTGCTGCGTGTCATGTGCCTCTCATAGGAACAGTGGGAGGTGGTCAGGGAAGCAGGGAGGAAGGGAGGGAGAATAGACAGACATCATTAGGCTGTGCTGCTCCCTTGAGAAAAGCTCCATGGCTAAAAAGCAGGAGACTATGAAGACACACCTGTGGGTTTCAGAGCGAACGTTTTCATTTACTATCTAGAATTGGGGCAGCCCTCAGCTTTCAAACAGGGTGTGAGCGGGGGGAAATGGACTGGCAGAAATTAAAGGCCCCATCTGATTTTAGCTTGGGCTTTGCCCAGTGCCATGCTGGCAGTGGAGTAGGCTAGTCCCCTCAATGTTCCACTGGCGCCTCCTTCCCAAAGCCTGGGAAGCTTCTGCCCAGCTTAGGGAGGAAGGCACGATGCTTGCATGTGACACTGCTCCCCACCCCATTGCCCTTGCAAGCTGGCACCTCTGGTCCTAACTTTTCCCCTATGAACAGTTTGCCTTTGGCCCCATTCATGGCCACCATGCAGCCCCTGAAAGATTCTGCTGCCTTCCCAGGGAATGTAGCCCCCAACAAAAGCAGGCAGGGGAAAGATCTCTCGCCCCTGGTGATCTCCAGATATTTTGGCATACAGTTCCCATCAGCCCTGCCCAGCATGGCCCAAGACTGGAGAGATCCAAGTTGGTGAAGACTGCTTGCAGCAGCAGCAGCAGCAGCAGAAAGGGAGCCGTTGAAAGTGGTCTCCTCTGTGACTGCCTGTTGCCCCAAGAAGCCCCTCTGTTTGCAGACTTGTTTCTTGAGCCTCCATGTGCCTGTACAAGAAGTCTCAGCCAGAATTGGCATTGCCTCTGTTCCCTTCTAGAACTGGATGTATTGAAACAGTGTTGGAAATGTTGTGATGTGTCTGGATTGCAACTTGGCATTTCCTTGGAGGATCCTGGGGTGGCATTCAGCTACGTTTTGGTCAGAGTAGACCTGTTTAAAGAAATGGACCTCAGTCATGCTCATTCCTTCCAATGGGTCTATGCTGAGTAAAAATTGTTGAGTAGCACCATTACCTTTTTCACACTTGTTTTTCAAGGCATTGGACTGCGCAGGTCAGAGCAATTCCCATCAGACCCAAGTCCAGGGGCTAAACTCAACATGTCTTTCTTTTGAAAACAGGGGTTGTGCAAACTGGGTGTCAGGCACTGCAGCTCTGCCCATTGTTAAAATGTGGCTTTTTTTCGGCCACAGTGCTTGCAGGTAAAGGCTGAACTAAAGGAGGCCCTAAAATAAAACGATAAATGTGGGCACAGGAGCATTGACTCTTGATTTCAGAAGTCTGGCAACAGCACGGCTTTGGAGCAGTCGATACACGCCTGCCTTGCTTAGCAGAACGGAGGTAGGGAAATGGGCCTTTCTCTGAAAAATATTACTTAGGAGAATCTGCGATGCCTACACTCTCGGTCCTTCTGGCAAGTGCCGTAGCTCAGTAGGAAAGCTTTTCCCTTGTACACAGGAGTCCCCAGGTTCCATCCCCTACATCCAAGTAGAGCTGGGAATGTCCCCTTCCTAAATCCCTGGAGAGCTGCTACCAGCCTGTGTAGACAATACTGAACTAGATAGACCTCTATGGCATAACTCGTGTTATGCATCCACCTGTATCCCTACCAGCAGCACGGTGGTGGTGGTTGTGGAGGAGGAGGAGGAACCTGCACCTGCCTACATCCTGCTCTGACCCGGCTCTGCTGTTCCCTTGCAGGAGTGCGGAAGAATGAAGTGGGAAGGCTTCTATGCCCTGGTGATCGGTGTGAACCGCCACTCCACCGCCATTGGCCGCATCTGGCTCTCTGTGGTGTTCATCTTCCGCATCATGGTGCTGGTCGTGGCTGCGGAGAGCGTCTGGGGGGATGAGCAGTCGTCCTTCACCTGCAACACGCAGCAGCCTGGCTGCAAGAACGTCTGCTACGACTACTACTTCCCCATCTCCCACATCCGCCTGTGGGCCCTACAGCTCATCCTGGTGACCACGCCGGCCTTGCTGGTGGCCATGCACGTGGCATACCAGCAGCACCAGGAGAAGAAGCTCTTGGTCATGACGGGCCACGGAGACCCCAAGCACCTGGAGGAGGTGAAGAAGCACAAGATGCGCATCTCAGGGTCCCTGTGGTGGACGTACATCTGCAGCGTGATCTTCCGCATCGTCTTTGAAGGCACCTTCATGTACATCTTCTACATGATCTACCCAGGGTACCAGATGATCCGCCTGGTCAAGTGTGACGTGTACCCCTGCCCCAACACGGTCGACTGCTTCATCTCGCGCCCTACCGAGAAGACCGTCTTCACCGTCTTCATGCTGGCCACCTCGGGCATCTGCATCATCCTCAACCTGACAGAGGTGGTGTTCCTGCTGGTGAGGGCCTGCGCCCGCCGCGCATCCAAGAGCCACAACCCTTCGTCGAAGAAGGGCTCCTTCCTGGGCCACAAGCTCTCTGAGTACAAGCAGAACGAAATCAACCAGCTGCTGACGGAGCAGGACGGCTCCCTCAAAGACATTCTCCGGCGGAACTCAGGGATACAAGAGAAGAGTGACCGATGCTCAGCCTGCTAAGGGTCTCAGGACCGGAGGGCGGGGGTGTTCACAACTTGGTTACAGCACAGCACGCCTGGTGGGGAGAGGGGGGGCCGCGGCTGTGGGCCTGCCAAGTCAGATCACCATCGCTCTGTCAAGCCCTCCGATTTTCCCGTTGCCAGATGCCCCACCAGCCGTGGCCTTTTTCTCCCCACTGCTAGCCCACATAATGTCCTCCAGGCACAGTCCCTGTGGACAGGATGGCCTCTGACATCGAGAATCACACAATTTGCCCACTGCAGATCCTCTGTTGAATATGCCTCTGGTTGTGATTAACTAGGCCTCGGCAGCCTAGGGATGATTGGGTAGGCACCAAGACTCCCCTGCTGGGCCCCGTTCTGGGGATCAAAATATTGCAGAATTGGGGGGCCTGTGTGCCTTTTCCTTGTCTGGCCAGGCCCTTTTTCCTTTTGCCCTCCCAACACCTCCTGCTCTTTATCACCCTAACCTACACCAGAAAGAAAGGAAAGCAAAAATAAAAGATGCTAAACCCGAATATTATATTATTTGACGTGCTTCCTACATCCTGGAAGCACTTTGTATCCATACTGTGTAGTCCAGGGAAATTTGTGGCCCAGGATTCATCGGCAGGCGGGACAAGAGCTCATGCACATTGGTCTGTGTCTTTTGAATTCTCCCTGCTGTTTCTAGCCGGCACTTCATGCTGGTTTCCACCGCCCTGGCTAGTGCTTTGGAGGAAATGGTTTGCAGCAGCAGCAACCCATGCAGGCCAGGGGGGCCCACCTCTTTCCTGCCCCCTCCTTTCTGCATTGGGAGTGTTCCTGGGCCTTTTAAACACAACAGAGAAAGGTAGAATGGCACTGCTTTCACTGCAACTACCTGATTTGCTAGCCAGGCAGAGGTTAAAGGATGGGGAGCCCTCCCACTGGGGGGGGGAAGCCAGCAACCCCCACCTCTGCATTATCACTGCTGCTCTCCTTTAGCCAGGGTTCAAAGAAGATTGGGTTGGGGGCAGAGAGGTGGGGCATTCCCAGGCTATTTTCATCACCTGCTACACCTCATTTTGCCAAAGCAGTCACACAGTATTAAAAGCTGGTTTTGCAATTCTCGACTCAAGAGTTGTTTTTCATCTGGGGGTTTGTCTGTGTCCCCTCCCCCCCACAGAGTGTTACAAACAGTAGTAGGTTGTAAGAACCACACACTCAAATTAAGCCCCTCCTGGCAACTGGGGCAATCCTTCCGGCATTATTCCGGCAATATTTCAGAAGTTGGCATCCTAAGGCAGACTTCTTTGTCCAGCTAGGATTTTTCTCCACTTCCTGACAGTAGTTCTGCAGGGTCCTCCTTATTGCGTACTACTTGATCCTTCTTAACTGGACATATGGCAAATGGAACCTCCTGCATGCAAAGCAGGTGGACCTACCCCTGAGCTGTGCCTCTTTCCTAACAAGGTAGGGCGGCTCTTTCATTCAACCAAAGGTCTGGAGCTCCATGCAAGAAGAGCAGGGCAAATCTCCAGTGGGTTGGGAACGGCTCTGAGCAACATGCCCAGAGGGGAAAGCCCCTGCTTCATCCCAAAATTGAGAATAGCCCCATGTACAGACCATTGAGTAACCGCTTCTGATCGGGAGCTCAGGAAGGGCACTAATCCTCAACGGCCACACTGCTGCAAGTTTTCATGCAGGGCTCTTACATAGTCTATTCTGGTGTTCTTCAACCTTGAGTGTCCAAGATGCCCACTGGCTAAGCTCGCTGGGAACAGCCACCTCTGGAGAATTGAGGCTGAAGAACCTAAGGACAGCCCTGCTGGATCAGGTTGGTGGCCCATCTAATCCGGCAGAGTTGCCAACCAGATGGGAAGCCTGCCAGCAGGACCTGATCCAACAGCAACCTTTCCCTCCCTGTAGTTTCCAGCAGTGGGGATTTCGGAGCATACTGCCTCCAACAGTGAAGATAAGAGCATAGCCCAGGGGTCTGCAACCTGTGGCTCCGGAGCCGCATGTGGCTCTTTTACACCTTTGCCGCGGCTCCGGGGCGGATACTAGCGAGGGGAGGAGGCACATTGTGCGCCCCGACACTCCCCACTGTGACGGGCGCTGTACTGGCTGTGACGTTCGCATGGGGGCGGTGCGTGCGTTAGTCACACACCGTCCCGACGTCACCTTCCCACCCGCTGTCAGATCGGAGGGCAGCGGCGCGCATGCTTTAAATGTCGCAATGGTTTTGCGGCTCCCAGGTTTTTTTTTCTTTGGAAACGGGTCCAAGTGGCTCTTTTTGTCTTAAAGGTTGCAGACCCCTGGCATAGCCTATCAAAACTTGCTGCATGAAGGACATTGATGACAGGAAGGCTGCTCTGCTCAGGCCAGAGGGACAGGGCTGCGATTCAAAGGAGGTCAAACATTTGCAGAGTAAGGTGGGTGGGGAGGTTTGGAAGCTGTGCTTCATCCACCAGTACCCTTTTTTCTTTCAAAGAACAAGATCCGAGGGAAATTCCTGCAGGTTTTTTCAGCCTGGATGAGGAAAAGCTGCCTGAGGACAGGTTGTTCCCGTCCGTGCACTGCGCTCCCCAAAATACCCAGCTCACACTTGCAATTATTTTTAAAATGTTCCTACTTTTAAATGAGTTAACCTTGGCTTATAAACAAATGCAGGTATCTAGTTTTAGAAAACTGAAAACAAAAAGGCAGGTTTGAGGCAGAGCATCTGCTTTGCATGCAGAAGGTCCCAGGTTCAAATCCAATGGCACCTCCAGATCAGAACTTGGACTGTCTCCCTACCCCAAACCCTGGAGAGCCAGTGTTGTCAATACTGAGCTACATGGACCAAAGAACTGACTCCGTATGATGCAACTGGCTTATTTTTTTTTATACTTTAAAATGCATAAAGTGAAGCCTAGCCTTCTGACACCACCTGCTTATCTTACTGGTATGTGAGTGTGCAGGGTAAATTGCTAAGGTCCACATGGCAGATGAACCTTGTGCTGTGCTCACCTTGAAAATGTTTTGTTCCTCTTCACCTCAAGTGGTCCCTGATAAACACTGAGTGGTTTTATTGATTGGTTGCATTGCATTTACATCTCACCTTTCCTTCAGAGAGCTCAAGGACATGGCTACCCCCCCCCCCAATTAATCCCCACAACAACCCTGTGAGGTGGGTTAGGGTTGAGAGGCAGTGAGTGGTTCAATGTCACCTAGGGAGCTTCAGAGGAGATTCAAACCCTGGCCTCCCAAGGTCCTAGTTCAGCACTCAAACCACACAACACACTGGCTTGTACACTGCACAGGAAAATGCACTGTGCAAGAACACAAGATATATTTATTTCCCTTCCCCAACATAAGCCACTGCGTACCACCTGCTCCAGTGACCACTAGACTGGGATGTGGGCAAGGAGGTTGGTCACAAAGGAGGTTGGTAACCTGTCACACTACTCTCCCTGACTTCTGAAGCAGCTCTCTTGAGTTGGGAGCATACTGGCTTGTTGCAAGAAGCTGCACAAGAGGCACTGCATCCCCCAAAATGTCACATTCAGAATGTAAGATGATGCTGGTTCCTGGATCAGGCCAAAGGGGCCCATCTAGTCCAGCATCCTGTTCTCAAATTGGCCAAGGAGATGTCTCTTGGAAACCCACACTTGGGAAATGAGCACAACACAATTCTCTTTGCTTGGGATTACCAGCAACTGGTTTTCGTTTACTGTCTCCAAAGCAGAGGGAGAACACAGGAATCAGGGTCAGTGACCACCAGTAGCCTTGTTCTCCAGGTAGGTGGGCCATCACCAGGTGGGAACACCATAAATAAGTCCTTTCTTTTGTCTGTTAAGGTTTCCAACATTCAGCTTCACCGGGTGGTCCAAAGTTTTAGCAGCACATGCGGGGGGGAAATATTCCCCTTTCTCTTTGTTGACTTTCTCCCTACCATTGCTACAGACACAAGAGGGAGGAAAGCTGCGGCTTCCGAGGGTGATGAGGTGGTGACTGACTAGAGGAAGCAGAACGACCATCCCAGAGCATAGCCTCTCTCGTCCGCAGGTCATTCCAAGGTCCCTCTCACCAGAGAGCTCCTGCCTAAATATAACCCCACTCACCCTTCGCACTCGCCCTGCAGGAGGGGCTATAATTAACCAAGTGTGCTGTCCAAAAATAAGAGTGTTGGAAGTGACCCCCCAGTGGATGCTGCAGAGGTCAGTCATGAAAACAGCCAATGAGCAGCAAAGCCCCAATGGCAACAAAGCCCCAGCCCAGGGAGGAGAGACACCAGGAAGAGATCGTTGCTCCATTGTGGTCACCGGCGGAAGAGACAGCCGGACAGGCGCTCAGAGGTGGCTCGAAGGAGGAGCTGCTGACACCCAAGGGAGCTGACAACACCTGGGATGCTGGCCAGGATGTGAAGTGTTTTGATGCCAGGACCTCCGAACGCAGACAGGGTGAGTGTTGCTGCACCTGGGTGGAGTCTGACTTTGGAAGGACTTACCACCCCACCCCCAGCAGCCACCTTGGCTCTATGAACTTGCTGCTTTGGGCACAACCCCAGCTTGGGCCGGTAGTAATCTTGGTCCGCTATTTACTTATTTTTCGCAGGTGGTGCTAGGGGTGGTGTGTAGCATAGGAAGCTTGCTTATAAACCAAGTCGGACCACCACTCCATTTAGATCAGTATTGTCCTCACTGACTGGCAGCAGCTCTCCAGGGTTGGGGCAGGGGATGTTCCCAGTCCTACCTGGAGATGTTGGGGATGGAAACTGCATGCCTTCTGCATGCCAAGCAGGTGCTATGCCCCTGAGCTGTGGCCACACCATAGGGCTGGAGGGGCAGAAAGAGGGTCTTGGCCATCTCCCAGCTGTGCCCAGATCTGAGGGGAAGAACTGTGCTTTGGGGCCAAGGCTTGTCCTTGCAGGCAACAGGTGCTCAGCTCCACTCCTGGGCACTAAGCTATTTATCCGGTTAAATGCCTGGCTTTTCAAGGGACATGCACACAATGGGCCCTACCCCGAGAACAAAAGCACAATGACTCCTCATACATCAAAGGGCAGCCTGCTTGGCACAGGTAGGTCCTGCCTCTCCTCTCTCCCCATTGGCAGGGAGGGGAAGAGAGGCAGCAGTGCCAGCACCCCACCCCAATTGTCTGAACCTCCCTTTCTTGCAGGGCAAGCCCGCCTTGCACCCATGGGCGACTGGCACCTGCTTGGGAGGCTGCTGGAGAGCGCACAGGAGCACTCCACAGTGGTGGGCAAAGTCTGGCTCACTGTCCTCTTCATCTTCCGCATCCTCGTCCTGGGGGCGGCAGCAGAGAAGGTGTGGGGGGACGAGCAGTCCAACTTCTCCTGCGACACCAAGCAGCCCGGCTGCCAGAGCGTCTGCTACGACCAGACCTTCCCCATCTCCCACATCCGCTTCTGGGTGCTGCAGATCATCTTCGTCTCCACGCCCAGCCTCATCTACCTGGGCCACATCCTGCACTTGGTGCGCATGGAAGAGAAAGAGCTGGGGGCCTCCCCGGGGGTTCAGGTGGAGGTCAGCAGCAGCCCAGCAGCTCAGCCCAGGCCTGGCACAGCCCCTGTGCGGGACGCCTGCGGAAGGATCCGCCTGCAAGGGGCCATCTTGCGAACATACTTCTGCAATGTTGTCTTCAAGGCTCTCTTTGAGGTGGGCTTCATCCTGGGCCAGTACGTGCTGTATGGCTTTGAGTTGAAGCCCCTCTACACCTGCAGCCGCTGGCCCTGCCCCAACACGGTCAACTGCTACATCTCCCGGCCCACCGAGAAAACCATCTTCATCCTCTTCATGCTGGCCGTCGCCTGCCTCTCCCTCCTGCTCAACATGGTGGAGCTGTACCACGTGGCCACCACTAAGTGCAGGCAAGGCCCTGAGCCCAAGCTCAGCCCAGAAGGGCAGCCGGAAGGAGAGCCTGCCAGCCACCGCCACCGCCTGCTTCACTGCCCCAGTGCTACGCCTCCCAGCAGCCCCTCTCTGCAGCCTGCAGAGAAAGCCAGTCCACGGACGGAGGGAGTGAGCGAGAGCCCCGCTTGGGGCGGAGGGCAGAAGCGAGGAAGCAAGTCCAGCAAATCAAGCAATAAGTGGAGGTCCAGTGACCTGGCTGTTTAGCCAAGGGACTTTGCTAACCTCACACTGGATAGCAAGACCCAAGTGTTCCCACGGGCATTAGATGCACCACCAAGTCGAAATCCCTACCCCAATGCCTGATCAGACAGAGAATTCCTGGGCTGGAGGAAAGGTAGCCTGTACCTGCTCAGGAATTAGGAAGCCTCAGGCCTCTCTCCTTTACCTCCCAAGCCTGCCCTTTCATCAGAGAGCAACTTTGCTACGCTAGGAGAAGCAGCAGAGACTTCACAGCTCCCTTTCCAATGAAGAAGGGGGACTCTGAGGGAGAGTCCCAGGCTGGTCCTAAGTCTCGAGACCCTCTTCTTCTAGGCATCAGCCCCAAATGCCTGAAGCAGAGACTTCAGCCACTTTTGGGAGCAGCTGCTGCAAAGCCACAAGCAGAGAAGAGCACTGGGCATGTGGACAATGGCCAGGCACTTTGGAAGATTCTCTTGGTGTCTGCTGCCCCTTAGTGGCCAGGAAGTGGAAAGAGCACGCTTCAAGGCAGGCTCAGTCGGAGCAGAGAGCGGATGCAATGGGACCCACAGCAGCCAAGTCAGGGAAGGGGGTGGAGGTCTTCCCCTGGGGGCATAAAAGTTGGTAAGGCATGCTGGCTGCCACATGCACACCCACCAATGGAAATTACCTCGCTGGGACATGGGGCCTCCAACCCTGTTCTCGTGCATCACCACATTTTGGGGGCACAGAGACAAGGACCACAGCCCTGGAATAAGAGATGAAGAGAGACAAGTCAGCAAAGTTTTTGTGCCTTTATTTGAAATGAATGGTTTCCAGAGAGACGCGGGGAGGGCAGGTCCTAATGCCCTGAGCATCACTACGACGACGAGACCCGCAGACTGGCTCACTGGCAACAAGGACACAGACAGGGGCTGGGCCAGAACAATATATACAGGCTCAACAGACAGCACCAGCACCAGCACCAGCCATAGCTCAGAGTTCAACGCAACACACACAGATGGGTGAGGAAAGGGTTGGTGGGATGCTGAGCAGCCTCTGCCTCATGGGGCAGTGGGCGTGGTGGGGTGGGCGGCCAAGCTAGCATCGAGGAAGCAGGGGAGAAGGAGGCTCAGGGTGCAATGCTAGGGCCTAGTCTCCCCCAACACGAGAGAGAACAGAGTGTTCAACCGTTGGGGATGGGTGGGGGGAGGGAGGACTGCCATCTACTGGGCAAGGGGAGAACTGTAGAAGCCCCACCCCCCACCCCGTGCAAGAGAACGTGCACGGCAAGGAGCCAATTCATTCACCCCGCCCCAATTAGCACAACCAGGCACAGGGTCTGCACCCCCAGAGCCCAGCTCTCCTGCAACAGCGAAGACACGCCCTGCACCCTTCCCTCCCCAGGCGAAGAGCCTACCTGTGGCACTCCCCCCAAGCCAACACATAGCAAGGAGAAAGGGGCAGGCAAGCAGGCACTCCTAGGCAGCGTGGGAGGAGAGGGGAGGGTGGGGGTGGCTCCTCGTCAGAGGGAAAGGGATCACCTAGTGGGGAGTGTCTAGAGCCCTATGTGCCCGCCAAACCAGGCAGGAAAGGGGCAGCAAGCCACACACACCCCACAGTCACCCACTAGCTGACTGGAGTAGTGCTGGGGGCCCCCAATCTCCCTCTGGCAAGACCGGCACCACCTGCTCAGTCCATTTCGTCATCCAGGCCGCCTCCACCTCCGCGGCTGTGCTCCTCGTAGATCTCGCGCACAGCCAGGACGCGGTTGAGCATGCTCTCGAGCATGCTTTTGTCCATGGGGATGACGGAGTACCACAGCGGCGACTCGGCGATGCATGACCTCTCAGGCTGCAGGTAGAAGACGTCATTGCGGTTTCGCAGGCTTTCAGGGCTGCAGCCGGAAGGAAGGAAGGCAAGAGGAGATAAGCAATGAGGCCAGAGAAGGGGCTCCTGGCCTAGGCGGGAACCCCACCCTTCCCTGGTCCCCCATTGCCCACTCTTCAGGTTCAGCACATAAGCCCTGAACCAAGAGACAGGGGACCCCAAGCTGCACTGAGGAGCAAGGACTGCAGAGCAGCGGCTTTCTGCTCTGGCCAAAACCTTTCAACACCACCTGCTCCATCTTCACAATGGCTGCCTCAATGCCTGCTGCATCCTGCTGCCACCACCGCCCTTGATGCCCATTTAAAAAAATGAATGGGTAAAACACCACTGCGTATGACTACCACCACCGCTGGCAGCAACGGCACTAGCCGCCCCCTGCCATCGGCATCTACCTAACAGCAAAACGGGGGGGGGGGGGGTTGTAGCCAAGCTTTCTGGGTCCTTCGAGTACTGAGGCAATGCAGAGAAACTGTCATGAGCACCACCATGCATGAGCTGCAATCTTGCGGACTGCGACCCTGTGCACACAGAAACGAGGCATTGTAGAGTTGGAGGGGACCCTGAGGACCATCTAGCTCAATGCCCTACAATGCAGGATTCCCAACACACAGTCCCCCATCCCATTTGAAACCATACCAGACCCTGCTTAGCTTTGCAAGTGTGCTAGCACCTTTACTGTTGCACCACTAGGAGTTTGTTCCCACCAACGCATTTAGGCTTCAAAAGGGGGCCTTTTCTTTTTCTTAAGCCTAATGGGTGTCGGGGGGGGGGAGGGAGAGGATGGTGCAATCTTTCTGGAGGGTGCAAGTTTTGGAGGAGTGAGCAACAGTCAACCTCCCCAAGCTTAATATCCGCAGAGGAAAACTGGGGTCAGGGACGACCCTCCAAGCACCAGGGAAAGCCTCTGCGGGGGTCCATGGCCTACTGCCATCATACTGGGGACCCCTGAGCCCAGCCAACGTTCAGGAACCAACTGAATATCCAATGGGCCTAGTTGTCGGAATGGGCCAAGGACCCTCTGTTCTCGCAGTGGCCAACCAGACGCCCTAGCAAAAAGCCCGCAAGCAAGGCCTGAGCACGAGAGCCACCTCACCCCTCCTGCGGTTTCCCAGCAGCTGGCATTCAGAAGCCCTGCACCCTCTGGCAGTCAGCTGCTGCAAAAGGCTCTCACCATTTGGAGAGATAGAACTCGTAGAACTTGACTGGGCAGCGCAGAGGGTTCATGCGGTTCTCTCGCTGCTCCAAGACAGGCGCTTCCTCCTCTCGCTTCCGCTTGCCCAGGCCGCCATCTGCAGGGAGAGTGTGGAGGTGCAGTCAGGACAGGGGCACCCCCAAAACAGATGGGCAGCAAATGGATGTGGGCGGAAAGCATTCCCTACCTCTCCCCTTCCGGTGCCGCACGGGAGCATAGTAGCGGATGCTCACCACCTTGGTGGTGCCCCGTGCTGTGGTGCACTTGCGCGACTGGCGCACGACGTTGGTGAAGGAGAGCTGCATGTGCTCCTCAGCTGTCTGCAGCCCAAAGAACTTGGTGTTGAAGAACATGAGTGTGTTGAGGAGCACGAAGGGGGAGTAGACGCCCAGCTGCTTGCACTCCCAGAGGTGCTCCTCTTCCACGCGGGAGAAGACGGTGTCTGCAAAAGGAGAAGCCACCACTGTCACAGGCATAGTGAGCCACAAGGCAACAGACAGAGCCAAGAACTGTGCTTTGATGCACTGGCTAGGGCTCATGGGAGCTGCAGATCAAGTCGATTGGGCTTTATGAAGCCCCCACCTGGATCACTTAAGCCTTCTGATGGGAAACTCTGGGTGGTCCAACATGCTCCTGAGGTTCCCTTGGCCCTGCCCTGTGGAACTCCTTGCGAACAGAGGTTTGGCAAGAGTCATCCAAGCTCAACTTGTAGGCATCATAGAATTGCAGAACTGGAAGGGACCCTGAGGGTCATCCAGTCCAGCCCCCTGCAATGCAGGAAAATCAGCTAAAGCATCCATGACAGTGGCCAGTCAACCTCTGCTTAAAAACCCTCAAGGAAGGAGAGCCCACAGCCTCCTGAGAGAGACCGTTCCATGTCAAACAGATCTTGCTATCAGAAAGTCCTTCCTTGTACCTTGAAGCCATTGTTTCTGCAAACTGTTTTACTCAGGTGGGCCTTTCAAACCTGACATTCTTTACCATGAGCTTTTATTGATACATCTGACATTCTTAATATTTTTATTATTACACTGCTGCGCTTTTAAGCTGCATACTGCCTTTTGATGTTCAGTTTGAAGGTGTGGCTTATTTATATATACATATATTTTAATTAAAAGATACAGAAAACATCAGGTTGAAGAGCGCTGCACTAAGAGGCTAGGAAGGCTGCATCTGGTGCAATACCAGGAAACCTAAGTAGCCTGTTGCTATGGGACCCCCTCCTTTTCTCAGGTCTGACGCATTTAGAACTGGCCTTAGTATAATAAACTCAGTTGCTCGTTTTCTGCTGTGCGCACAATCGAGCACACAGCTGGCAAGAAACCAGTACGAGAAACCCATCAATTGTTACTTTGGAGAGGGGAAGTGTTTGTTATATACATATATTCATTTCAGCATATTTTCTAGCTCTTTTTCTGCACTACACGCATGAACCTATCATTTAGTGCAGCCCTCCCCAACCCAGACACCCTAGATGTTTCAGACTCCAGCTCCAATCAGCCCCGGCCAACACAGGCTGGGGGGAATCTAAAACAACCGGACATGGCACCAGTTTGGAGGAAATTGGTTTACGGCTTCCAGACCATCTTTTTTTTAACTTGAATAGAACCATAGCACTGAAAGGCTCCCAAGGCACCATGTAGTCCAACCCTCTGCAATGCAGGAATCACAGCTAAATAATCCATGACAGACGACCACCTCCGTTCCAATGAAGGAGATGCCATCATCACCTTCTGAGGCTGTCCATTCCACTGTCAAACAGCTCTTAGTGCCCAAAGTTTCTTCCTGATGTTGAGCCGGAATCCCCTTTTCTTGTAACGTGAACCCACTGGTTCAGGTCCTACCCTCCAGAAAAGGAGAAAACAAGCTTGCTCCATCTGCCGTGTGGCAGCCCTTCAGTTATTTGAAGATGGCTATCTTATCTCCCCTTGGTCTTCTCTTCTCCAGGCTAAACACTGCCAACTTCCTCAACCATTCCTCATCTTTCTGTAAGTTTGCTGCATTCTTTCTTTGCTCGCCTTCTTTGGCTCCATAAAAGCATGGGGAACCTTTGGTTCTCTGACTACAACTCCCATCTGCCAATAGTCAGTGATGATGGGAGTTGTAGTTCAGCAGCATCTGGAGGACTAAAGGTTTCCAACACCTGGTCTAATAATTTTTGAACTCTTTCCTTCCCTAAGCTGTTGACCTCCAGGTGTTTGGGAACTCTCGCCAGCAAGTCCAAAATATCTGGAGAGCGACAAGTTGGCAAGGGCTGGCTCGGCAGCTATACCAAAAAGATTGGGCTTGGGTTCAAATCCTGGCTCGGCCATCGCCTTCTTGGGCCAAAATTAAGAATGAAGAAAAGAGGATGAAAAACAGCCCTGCTTCCTGGGATGGCTATAAAAACAGACTGATGAACAGTTCACTGAAAAGACCAAGAGCTGTCGATATCCTATGCACAAAGCACCACAGACCCTCTTGGGTGCTAAGATGGGCAGAGAAGGTCCTCTCAGTGGTTCCTCCACCCTCAGAGGCTTAAGGGGTGGCAGCCTGTGGAACTCCCTCCCCACAAAAGTGCATCTGGTGCCTTCATCATACAGCTTTTGGAGAATGCCTA